CAACTATTGAAATTTATCACCTTGTCTATTAAAATTAATTCCTTAACCTCGTGTTCGCCGCCATGTTTAAATGTCAAAATCAGCTGTTTACTCGTTTACTTTTCCAGACCGTTTATTTTCCAGAAGCAATTTCAGTAAATTGTGCACGACAAGACGCATGCGTAATCGCAATAGTAGTGCTCAAACTAAACGAAGCAAACAAGTAAATTTATAACCGCATATTTGTGCAATTGCAGTATTCATCTGAGTAAATTTTCGACCGTACCCTGTATATACTTTAAATTTGTACCTAACTTCACTCTGCAACAACTTTACGTTTGCGACCTTTGACGACGGCCGACGTTGCGCATGCGCGCACCTAAGCGCACCTGCGACCTGCCATTTGCTTGCAATTTTTCATGAAAAAGATTCCAAAAATCCAAAGTGAAAGTGCTAGAGCATCTGTGAATCGTTTTATATTCTTATTTTTTTATCCGCACGAAGCGCAATTTATGTTAGAATGATATGTTAATATTTTGGCGTTTGTTTGAAATATTTTGCGTTTGTTGTGCATTAATTTTGCGTTGGTTATACTCCTATATTGATTTTGCGTTTGTTGTGTATTAATTTTGCCATTGTCGTGTTACTGCTTCTTTCGCACATTGTCTGCTGTGTGCTTGAAGTTGGGCATGAGTGCAGTAAATAGAAGCAGGACTGGCTATGTGCCATTTAACTTTTGCAGAGACTTTCAAAGGGGTGTGTGCACGAGGGGCCCTAACTGCCGTTTTGTACATGTTTCGGCAGCGGAGCAGAGAATTGCAACCCGAAACGATCAGGCAACCAGAGATATCGCAATTGAGATCCGTCGCGCAATAAATGTTCGACCTCTATGTAATGACTTTGTTCGTGGCGTATGTAGAAAAGGCGAGGGCTGCCTAAACCGACATCGTCGGCCAGACGAACATTTTGAGCCGTTGGTGTGTCCGCTCTGCCTAGACCGTATTTACAAGGGTTTCTTGAGGTGCTTTGAGGCCTGCCACCATGTGGTATGCTGGCAGTGTTCTCAACACCTCCGTAACATCTGCCCTAAGTGCAGACAGTCGTCACAAATATTAGAGTTATATGCTTAATTACTTAAATCTTACATTTAATTTAAATAAAACTTTCTTGATGTGGATGAGTTTTAATCTTTTTTGATGCACTGTGAAATTAATTCTTTTTCATTTTGTAAACATTGCTAGCTGGTAGCGTAATTTGAAGCATAACTGGATTTTATGGACAGACGATACAGGACAGGTATTAACAACACCATACATTAGAGTAGAGGGTATTGCAATTGGGTTGTGCTAAAAAATTACGCATATAGATAAAAAAAATTTCCTAAAATTAACCGAAAGATATTCTTGTCCTTTAGAAAGGGTTAATAATCAGTGTGGTAGTACACATTATTATAAAGTAAATTAAGTGCTGTTTTTATTATAGGCACTTGAAGGACTTTGTGTTAAGTTTACCCCTTGAATGTAAATTGGATCTATGGAACTAATTTTGAAGCAATTAACTCTTACTAGAAAATACTTTTGAAAGGGTGCTTTATCTGTTCACATTTGACCTGCAGAATACTGCTACATCAGGTGTTCAAAAACGTAACTAACAATGTAATTTTAACTACACTTCCTCATTCCAGTAAATGTTAGGAATTTGTCTTTGGGCGAGTTTCTACAAGATTGAGCTTTTGTTGCATCATTGGTTTGATTTCTGGTGTTGACAAGTGCCCACTTTAAGCAGTAGAAGGCAGTTTAGCCGTTCTGTTAGATAGGCTTCCAACTGATTTAGAATTAGAAGTTAAATGAAATTTATGTAATAAACGTGTTTACTCTCAGTTCTCTCGTACACACAGTGCAAATTGTTACCAGAGTAATTTCTGATTTAGACTACAAATTTTATTTAATAAATTGTAATATGCCTATTGTTTTACATTATTTTCACTTGTATTATAGTCTCCCGCTTCATAAATCACTGTTAAACCCGAGGTTATTAAACCATTCCTCTTTGTGTCGCACTGCTTGGGCACTGATAGCTGCTGCTTTGTTTGATTATTCTGTATAAATTTATTGCCACAGTACCTTTTTTTTAACTGATTAATATTAACAGAAATCTGTTTGATAGGCCTTATTGTCATAGTATTAATCATGGAATATATGAAACCTTCAAATGATTCATCTAAAAAAGAAAAATATGTAACTTAAAATTGGATTAGGTGTATTCACTTTCTATAGTCCTTGCTTCAAAGATGATATCACTTTGAGAATCACTTGCTAAGTATATTCGAGATACATGATTGCCAATTCGCTTTGGTAAAAGTGATAAAGCCACATTTGTGTAGCTTCTTTTATGTTCTTTACTTTAAATGCTGTTATTCATTCACATGCCAGCATTAATATCTTGCACAGGATAGACTAAAATTGTGGTCGAATACATATGAGATTCAATAAGAATATTCTTGCAGCACATTTTTTGCGAATTCAAAAGTATTAACATTTGAATTTATGATGTTCCATCTCGGTGGATTATTTATAAAATATGTACTATCAAGGTTCACGGATAATTTTTCTTATGTCAAAATTTATCGATTTAGTCGAGTGTCGAGTTTAGGGGAATTTAAGTTTAGGAGGGATATGCATGTTGTACAGACTACAGATTGACCTGTCACTTTTGTAATCACTCTGGTTATAGTGCGCCATCTTACATTCACACATTCAGATGTAGGTAATACAGGTTTCGTATTATACGCTATTAAATTTCGACGAAATACAAGTTCGACAAAATACAAGTTATACGAAATGCCTGTTAGGTGCTTTTTTTTATACGCAATTTTTTTATATGTAATACAAGTTATACGAAATGCCGGTTAGCTGTTTTAACAGTTATATGCATTGCTTTTTATACGTAATGCAACGGCACGGGTTGATAGACCCATTGGCATAACATTATACTCAAACAATCTACCAGTAAACTCAAATCTTAAATACTTTCTAAAATTTTTGTCAATTGGAACCGTGTAATACGCGTCCTTTAAGATCGACTGTTGCCATAAAACAGTTCTTAAATATTAAATCCTTAACAGATTTATAATTTTCCAACTTGAAATGTGGAGGTTTTTGATAAATCTATTAAGCTGCTTTAAATTCAATATAAAACGTTTATTGCCATCTGGTTTTGGCACTAAGAAAAAGGAAAATAAAAATTGTTTCTCTGACTGAGAACACTGGCTAATAACCTCCTGAGCGTCTAATTTTTTAATACCCTCCATGAGAAACTGACTATCTAAAGCACTTAACTTAATAGTTGGAGGTTTATAAACCTGAACAGGTTCAGTATGGAAAGGAATTTTATATCCCCCGAGCCAAGACAACAAATGAATGTTACAATGCAAAGACCTCCATTTCTCTATAAAAAGTCGTAACCTTCCAGCATACACACTCACCGTTTCTACTTGCGTTGGTCGTTCCGCTTCTGATAATATGGTGACTTCGCTGGAGGCTGTGGATTCCTTTTCATCCGGCCCCTGTAAAAATGGCCCCCGTAGTTTAAAGAATAATTGTCTTGCGGGAAATGAGGCCTAGCGGTACCAGAGGTGCTTGGTCCAGAGTTTCTAGAAAAAGGGGTTCTAGGAATCGGGTTTTGTCTCAGGTTTGGCCACCGTTTTTGCAAAACAAAATTTGATTTCGTAAATTTCAGCTCCTTCCCTGTACGTTCATAGTTCTTGGAATTTTTGTATTTTTCCGAAAAATTTTCCCCACAGAGGAATTGGTCTGGTTTACTCTCACGAACCAATTTTTTCACCGTTGGATTTAACTTTGATTCAATCAGGTATTTGCGATTTTTCGATAACATATGGAAAGCGTCACAGATAACTTTGCCTGAATTTATTAAGCAAACTATGGCATCATTTTTCACATCTTCACCTGTTTTCTTGTCGGTCATAAGCAAGCTCAAGCCTTTTGCCAAAGCAGACAAGCCATTTCCCAATTGACTTTGGACAGTGACTATGTATTTATCATGACTTTTTTGAAGATCATCAATCGAAGCCAAAATCTCTGGGTTCAACTCGGGTCCTTTTAACCACTTGATGTTTTTTGGAGGTGGATATTTGACTTGCAGATCTTCTTTTTCTTTTTTGTCAATACCTTGAGTTAGGTATTTTTGCCAACGTTCCGCTATAACCTTATGAACTTCTTCCCCCCAAAGGGGTTCATTTCCCAAAGGCTCTTCCCCAAATAATTTCAAAACTTCGTCTGAAACACTAGTTCCATTATTAAGGGTCCCAATTTCTTCGCCACCCTGTATATCGTCATCTAAAAAAAAAAATTTGCACAGTAGTAAATTCTTAAACATCTCGACAGTCGGATGATAAGAAAAAATGCAACCCAATATTCACATAAAAGACGAAATTAAAACCTAGTCCTGGAAACGTAAACATCACGGCAGTCGGATGATACGTAGAATTTTATGAACGCCAAGCCAGGTGCGTCATCAAAAACACGGACGGAAAAGTACCGCCTTTCAAGACGTAAACAACACGGCAGTCGGATGTTTTTGTCTAATGTTTAATACTGAATGATGTAAAACCCTTAATCCAGAGTACAGTACTTACTGTCACTATTGCTGGTCGAACTTAAAGGTAATGGACGGCGAACCAGCCTTTTCAGGCTTCTTTTTTCCACTTCTTTCTGCTTAAATCTCTTCAATTTTCGTCTCAAGGCCCTCCTTTCATCTCCCAAACTACTCTCGGAACCACTACTCTCCTCTCTGTACCTTTTGGGCATCTTTTTTTGCGAACTAACAAACCACGTGTACTCTCGATAAAGCACAATAATGTAATGAGGGTAAGCCGGCTATGGGCGACACGAGTAGGAAGGAAGTTTTGATGGCGCTAGGAATGGCGCGCTCTTTGAATATGTGCTCGATAAAGTAAAATAGTGATACTACATATGTAATATCTATTTGGACGAGTATACGAAATATAATATGTAAAACAAATAAAATTTATGATATGCATAGTTAATAATGTAACCATTACAAACAAAAATGTACAATAACATTAATAAAATAGATTACATTGATGAAATAATACTTAGTTATTGTTTTGATCTTTTTACGCCTTTAAATAACAATTTTGTGATTTCTTCTTCGACTTCGTCTGCGAGGTCTTCACTCATTTGTGACAATTTTGCCTCTACAAAATTTGCAAATGCAGTATACTTTGAAGTCAAAGTCTGCTTCTTCTGTATTTGTTTTTGAGCAATGGCATTCGATAGAGTGCTCATTGCCCCAGCAACGTGTTGCAGCATTTCGGACTGATCATTCTTTTTTCTTTTTTGTTGCTTCGGAGTATTAGATGGCGTTACATTTCGAGGTGTCTCCGAAACTAAATTTAATAAACCACCCTCCTCGACTTCATATATTGTTACATCATCGTCCCGATCCTATAACAATAAGGTTCCGTAACAGCCCTGACAAAAAAATGTTATAAGTTAAACACCTGCGTATCTTATTCAGTGTATTCTTCAATGTACTCTTCGTCAACTATCTCATGGGTTTCTGACTCCACTTGTGTTGTTATATCATATGAACCCTAATTGGAATAAATGCAGATATGTTGAACCGTGATCATTCACATTTATATCAGTACCTACTTACATAACTATCGACAGATTTCCGGGCAGCATGGTGCTCGAGAACAAATCTCATTTTTTCATAATACCATAATGTCGGTACATATACCTGCAAGGCAAATTCTGTTTTAAAGAAGTATACACTTTGAAGAAATGCTTACTGTATCTCCTCCGGCACCGGAGCGATGAGATTGTTTTTCTTTCCGAAATTCTGTCAGGAAAGTTGTTTTTAATGAGAAAAATTTTGATTTGATTTCATTTATGGTGACACCTGGTTTTACTGGCACTAATTCGTTTAAAATATTATTCAAAGCTTCAAGCCTTGCATGTTTATTTTTATACTGTGGTGATTTTGTAGCATAAAAACAAGCATGTTTTTGATATGCTTCGATCAACACAGAAACTTCTTTTCTACTCCACGACATTATTAAAAATGTGTACAGTACACAAACAGAAAACACATACTGACATACCTAACCACACAAAATCGAGGCAGCGCAAAGCGGTTTAAAAATAACCGAAATAAAGCTATTGCGCCGATTTCCGCGCATTTTCTTGTAAAATTTAGAACAAGTCCTAAAATTTGTTGATGAATTTCTTGCACAGTTTTCTGAATGAAATTTTTTTGTTTGCAACCATTCAATTTTGCGTCCTTCACAGTATTTGCAAATTAATGTACAATTTATTGTATCGTTACAAACGTGCCTAAAATGTACAGGAGAGCAAGATTCTATACATTTTTTTGACTAATATTCAAAAATACAATAATTGCTTTCAAATTACGGCATTTGGCGCAACAAAAAAAAAGGTACTTTGCTAGCTCTGGATCGCCAAAAGCAACTAGAGGTGAGTGCGTTTATTTTTTATACTTTTGGGGAGAGATGGGGAGATTTTGGGGCACGTATGTCAAAATCTCTTTCCTGCTAAACTGTTGAACCGATTTAAACCAAATTTGCTACACATATTCTTAAACATAAAAGGGCAGAATCGCGCATGCGCAGGTGGGACGGGAGGTACCTGTGCTAGCCGAAGCAAATTTTTTGAAATAATTTTTTGTTAATATTTATTCAAGTCCGAATTGAATAGGTATTCATAGCTAAGAAAGAGGACAATGTCGGGTCAGCTAGAGTCATACTTGCCGACCCCTTCCAGCAGATCATGCATGTAATCACATGCAATATTGTTAATAACATGATCGTTATCCAACTGATTCCAAACACATTTCTCCTTTATTCCACTTAATGAACAATCCATTAATGTGCAATCATTTTCATAACTTGCTATGGTCCTTAAATAGCTTTGGTTTTCTACACATGATACGTCTCGTGCCTTTTTATGAGTTTTGCAAATCCTACAGCAGAAATTCCCGTTGAAGTTTTCAATAAAACCGAGAAGCTGATTTTGTCCGAAACCCAAAATCAAACCTAATTGGAAGTATATAGTTTCTTTATCATTTTTATGGTTATGCACCGTTATGCCACGATCTTGTAGGAACTTTAGTTCCCCTACAAGTATTTGTAAAACTGAGTGGCTTCCAAAATCACTGCGATCATTGGATTTAAAAAGCATTGCCAAAAATATAAAATTTAATTTGGACTGAAATTTTGGTGGCAGGCATGGGATTGAGTGGCACCAATTTTATTCACACCCGCATGTGAACCGAGAGGATTTCCTGCTTCAAAATCATCAAAATAAATAAAAAGTGGCAAAACCAATTTGTCTGGGTCAAACTGTGCCTTTTGATGTGTCCATGTTTCTCCCTGAACAAAGTTATAATATATATTTTTTTCTTCAGATAGAAAGTTAAGATGATTTTTAACGCTTTGTAGTAAGCCCGGGAGTTGAAAAAGGTTTTGTAGCATTTTGCGCATCGGTACAAATGAAGCGGTAACATTCTTGTTTACAAGTACCTTTTTCCATTGATCCCATTGATACACAATGATACTTCTAATAATTTATTGAACACACATACAAAGATAAAAAATGAACGTGCTGCCGACAACCCGTACGTATCGTATATTATTGGTTGTGTTTCTATGACCGACGCGCGCATGGTTGCATATACATATCAATCATCCTCCCCCTGTAATTTAAAGATTTAAACGGTCCGGAGGTCTTCTTGATCTTCCCGATCTCCGTACTGTAGTTTCGTGGTGAACTGTATCGAAGCATGTTGGCTGTTCTTCTTTCACAGTTTTCTGAGTGGTTGGCGTGGTTGGTTTTGTGATGAGCTCCGCTCGGTTAGCCTCTCTGTCACCGCTGTCCGTTTCGGATCTTTCTCCTGATTTCCAAGATCGTCTGAGTTGACCGGCAATGTAGCGGGTAAGTCGCTGTGGTATGGCAGAAGCTGATCGACATGTTTATTTTGTGCTTGACCATCAATCAGTACATTGTAATGTAATCTTCCGTTCTTTCCAATTACAGTACCAAATTTCCACTTCTTTTCAGGGTTATTATAGTTCCTCGCTTGTACCTTTTGACCGATGTCGAACAGTCGGGCTCCATGATCGTTTTTAAGTAAATCGTTTTCAGTAATGTCGAATGTCAAATCCTTCCGTACTAGATCTAGGCGTGTTCTGATGTTTCGTTTAAACATCAGTTCGGCCGGACTTGATTTGGTCGTTGCATTTGGAGCTTTCCGATATTGCATAAGGAAACGCTGGAGCGCCAAATGTAAATCAAGATTGTCGTTTAAGTGGATTTATAAAGACACTAAACCTTCCCCATACTTCTTTTAATTATTTCAGGTATTAGATTCAAGGCATTAGGTGACAGCGATTATAGTTTCGACCCGAAAGTCATTATCAAGCTGAAATATTATAATTTGAAACAATGACTAACCTTAGGTGACCTACCTTAAGTTTAAAGGAACATATAAAGGTGGTTGAAAATTACATATTAAAATGGTACATTTGGTTATCAATATGCTGTAAAACATGTGTTAAAAACGAGTCTAGAAAATAATTATACTTACGGGAAAAAATTACTAATTAGAACATGGAAACAATAACAATATTAACAATTTAAAAACTTTTTGTCGTCACATATTATAAAACAATTGTTTAAATTAAAGAAATTAAAGGAGACGAGATGGACACAGCCATCTTGACAAGCAAAGTGAAATGTGCTAACTAAATACGACAGGTTAAGTAACTAAAGGGAAGGGGGCAAAAGCGGGAAACTTGAAAAATTTGAAAATTAAAAGGAAAAAGGGGCCGGATTGGTTATGGGACGAAAAAAGAAGAAAGGTGAAAAGAATGTAACTTAGCTTACATTAGGCTATTGTTTTTAGAAAATATTTAAATTTAATGGGCCAAAATACCCTGTCTCTACTGAAGGTAGTCGTCGGGACTCACGGACTGAATAGAAGCCCAAAAGTAACAACCCTGATCTGCTGAAGGCAGAAAAAGGGCAACGTAAACTTAAACTAAAAACGAAGGGCTGACAAGCGTATCGGGGTCGGAAACTACTTGGTAAGAAAAAGCAAATTTTTATTTAAGTGAAGGATTTCATTAAGGGAGTGTTGAGGATTCGTCCTATAGTGGAGGTAAATCTCTTTCATTTCAAGAAAGTCCAATTTAAGACTTTTGTTACAAACATACAAACTTTTGAAGTCCTCTTTAGAAAACGAGTGACCTGAACTAAGGATGTGGTGAGCGAAGGAAGAACTGGGATTAGGTTGAACAGAGCTTATGTTGTTATTCTTAATGGCAGTGATGTGTTCAGAGAACCGAATTTTAAAGGAACGACCAGTTTGTCCAATGTAACAAGCTGGGCAATCTGAACAAACCAATTTATAAACTCCTTTCTTTCCTTTCTAGATCCCTCCAATTTTGTTCAGAACAAAACTTTTTCTCGTTTAACAATAAACAATATCATCAAACCACTGGTTTACCTATGGGTAGCAACTTATCTCCTTTGTTAGCTGAAATTTTTCTGAACCACTTGGAATCCACACTTTTCCAATTTAGTGAAATTAAAACCCATTTCCGTTTCTACAAAAGATATGTTGATGACATTCTTGTGGTCTTTGGGGGTGACAGGTCTGAGCTTAATCAGTGCTTTGAAATTTTAAATTCTCTTCACCCCAATATCAAATTTACTCTAGAAATTGAGTCTAATAAGTCTATTAATTTCTTGGACCTGTCATTGACTAGAGGCACTTCGAGGGTGGAAATCGGCATCTATCGAAAACCTACCACCACTGACCATGTTATACCATATCACTCCAGTCATCCTCTCTCACACAAACTTGCTTCCTTCAGATTCTTCTTTCACAGACTCCTTTCCCTTGACCTTTCCGAACCTCTTTACTTGAAAGAACTAGACATCATTTTTCAAATCGCTAGTGCGAACAATTACCCGTTCCAATTGATCAATAATTTACACCGTAAGATGATGTTGAAAGACTTCCTATCCAGACGTACCACCCTCTCTCAGACCCCTGATTTCCCTTCCAAATATTTCTCCTTACAGTACATTGGTCCCATATCAGAAATAATAGCCCGTCTCTTCCGTCCCCTCAAAGTTTCCATTTCCTTCTCTGTCAAGAACAACTTAAATTCTATCTTAGTCAAAACCAAAGACCCAATACCTCCTTTATCCAAGTCTGGAGTTTATAAATTGGTTTGTTCAGATTGCCCAGCTTGTTACATTGGACAAACTGGTCGTTCCTTTAAAATTCGGTTCTCTGAACACATCACTGCCATTAAGAATAACAACATAAGCTCTGTTCAACCTAATCCCAGTTCTTCCTTCGCTCACCACATCCTTTAGTTCAGGCCACTCGTTTTCTAAAGAGGACTTCAAAATTTTGCATGTTTGTAACAAAAGTCGTCTTAAATTGGACTTTCTTGAAATGAAAGAGATTTACCTCCACTATAGGACGAATCCTCAACACTCCCTTAATGAAATCCTTCACTTAAATAAAAATTTGCTTTTTCTTACCAAGTAGTTTCCGACCCCGATACGCTTGTCAGCCCTTCGTTTTTAGTTTAAGTTTACGTTGCCCTTTTTCTGCCTTCAGCAGATCAGGGTTGTTACTTTTGGGCTTCTATTCAGTCCGTGAGTCCCGACGACTACCTTCAGTAGAGACAGGGTATTTTGGCTCATTAAATTTAAATATTTTCTAAAAACAATAGCCTAATGTAAGCTAAGTTACATTCTTTTCACATTTCTTCTTTTTTCGTCCCATAACCAATCCGGCCCCTTTTTCCTGTTAATTTTCAAATTTTTCAAGTTTCCCGCTTTTGCCCCCTTCCCTTTAGTTACTTAACCTGTCGTATTTAGTTAGCACATTTCACTTTGCTTGTCAAGATGGCTGTGTCCATCTCGTTTCCTTTAATTTCTTTAATTTAAACAATTGTTTTATAATATGTGAGGACAAAAAGTTTTTAAATTGTTAATATTGTTATTGTTCCCATGTTCTAATTAGTAATGTTTTCCCGTAAGTATAACTATTTTCTAGACTCGTTTTTAACACATGTTTTACAGCATATTGATAACCAAATGTACCATTTTAATATGTAATTTTCAACCACCTTTATATGTTCCTTTAAACTTAAGGTACGTCACCTAAGGTTAGTCATTGTTTCAAATTATAATATTTCAGCTTGATAATGACCTTCGGGTCGAAACTATAGTCGCTGTCACCTAATGCCTTGAATCTAATACCTGAAATAATTAAAAGAAGTATGGGAAAGGTTTAGTGTCTTTATAAATCCACTTAGCCAATATCACCCCGTTTTGAGTCGTTATAAGATGGGTAGCTACCAATTAATTGTCGTTTAGTTGGTTCCGTAAACTGCGTTTGATTGTTTGGACATACCTCTCCGCTTGGACATTTGTAGCGGGGTGATAAGGCGCAGGGACCTTGTGGTGGATATCATTCTTCTTGAGAAACTCTTCAAATTCAGTGGATTTGAAATTACTTCCATTGTCAGAAACAAGCGTATAGGTAGACCAAAACGGCCAAAAAATTCTCGAAGAATTTTTATTGTCGCTGTAGATGTGATCGATTTGCATGGTATGGCTTCTATCCACTTTGGATACGAGTCAATTAAGATGAAAATGTATGTACCATGAAATGGGCCAGCGTAGTCCACATGTACTCGTTGCCAAGGAATTTGAGCATACTCCCAGGGATGCAAATTCACAGGTGGTGGATTGTTTCGAGTATTACAACATATCTTGCAGCTCTTTCCCATATTTTCTATGTCAGAGTCGATACCAGGCCACCATACATAACTTCTCGCTAGGTGTTTCATTCTGACCATTCCAGTGTGCGCGGTGTGTAACGTAATTCTATCAGAATCGGTTTCCTTAAAGTTTTGGGTATAGCTACTCGAATACCTTTAAAAATACATCCATCTTGTATAGTGAATTCTTCCAATTTGAGACCAAAAAAGTTTTATATCTGCATGCAATTATAGCGCCAGACGACGGAATGTTACTATCATCTATTATGCTACTAATTGGACAAATCCAAGGAAAGAATGAGTCTGATTATCATTTTTGTTTTTGTGATTCAAATAAACAATGTAAGCATAATAATACTTAAATTATGGTAATAGGTAAGCGCAAATAAATACAACACATATATAGAATAATAACGTGGAATTGTAAATAATGCAAAAATAAACATATTATTCTGTGAAATTGATACTCAGGTGAAAAGTGGTGATTTGGTAGTTTCATTTGCAGCAAACATTAACAGCGATGCAAAGTTAAACACCTTATGTGGCATTACAAAGATTGAAATTTTAGATGCAATGTATTGTAGCCATGTGTCAGCAGTGTGTGAATGAAAAAAGAGTTCACACATTATCATTAAGGGACCGTGTGTTAATGGCGTTTTGCAAAATGAAAACAGGACTTAGATATTCTGTTATTAGAATTTTGTTTAATGTGATAACGGTAAATAGTTGTATAAGGATATTCCACGAAACCATTGTTCTATTAAGTAATCTTTTAAAACCTGTTATTTACTGGCCCTCATTAGAAGAATGCCAAGCAAATCTCCCACTCTCTTTCGAAAATTTTAGAAATGTGAGGGCGGTATTAGATTGCACAGAAATTCCTGTATCTAGACCAAAATGCCTTTGTTGCAGGATTAAAACGTATTCAAATTATAAAGGAAGACACACAATAAAATTTATGACGAGTGTTACTCCTGGTGGGTTAATTACATTTATAAGTTCAGTGTATGGTGGAAGGACATCAGACAAAGTAATTTTTGAACAAAGCGACTATTATTAAATTGACAGCAGGAGTGGATGAAATAATGGTCGATAAAGGATTTTTAATAAAAGACATTGCTTCTTCACACAATATAAAAGTATTGCAACCACCATTTTTAAGAAATAAAAAACAATTAACTAAGGAAGAGGCACTCTTGAATTTGGCAATTGCAAAAGCAAGAATTGATATAGAACATTGTAACCAGAGGATCAAAGTGTTTGAAATGTTCAACAAACCATTGCCATGGTCCCTTGTACCAATCGCAAATGAAATTTTTACAATTGCCTGTGCATTGGTCAATCTAACTTCACCAATTATGGCTGATGATAAATTTATATTCGTTGTCTAAATGGCATAGTAAAATTAGTTACTTTCAAACAACTTTATTTAAACAAATGTAATTATAGCATATTATGAAAATAAATGCGTTCTAATTTACCTATTAAGTTCTTTGCAAAATCTTCATCATATGGAACTACAATGTTCAGAAAGGATTTCGAAAATGAATATACAACAAAATCACAATTTTTTTAATTTAGAATGGCTAATCCTAATTGTAGTTGTGCATAATATTGATGTTTTTATGCAGTGTTACACGTTCATTTTGTATTTTGAGGTAGTCACATTTTTTTTGTGTATAAATTCCACAGCATTGCAACCTTTTCCTAAAACAGATGATACTAGTAATAGACATTTTGTATTGAAAATCTTACCAGCGCAAGGGCATTTTATTTCGAAAAGTTTAAACGGATAGGTAGGTACCCATTCTTCAACACAACTCCATCTGGAGTAACGGCTAACCAGGGCTTATTTTTGCAAGTAATTATCCCTGTCGTAACTACCATGTAATTGTTACGTTCCGCATACGTGTTTCTGGCTTCCATTTCGTTTTCAATGCCATACTTGGTATATTTACTATAAAATGTCTTCGGCCAATAGTATTTTACATTATTAGCCAGGTAAGTGAGTTTTACTGGCGATAGGAATTGATTGGCGAGCTGTCAGAGAAGTGATCTCTTATTACTCGAACGAAAAGAAACCCGACTTGATACCTGTCAACAGAAATTCACAAATATATGTAATGAGTAGAGTTAGGATTTATAGAAAAATATCTATACGTAACAATTTCTAGCATCACTGTTGAACTTATAATGTGCACGAATTACTTGGTTTTCAGTTATAATTTACAATTTTTTATGCATATTTTAAGATTTTATGCATTTTTTAAAAGGTTCAGCATTTTTCGTGCTTTTTTAAACATATACTTAATTTTTCCTACCTGTTTGTTGGTATTTAACCTACACTGACAAAAATATTTTTTAACCCTTCACCGTTTTTCGTCAGTTATTTGCAAAAAGGTTGGCGCTACATAAATTTTTAGATTATTAATGAGAAAATCTGTTTGAACAACGTGAACGAGAATGTTTTTACTATTAACGACAATTACACTGAAAGAAATAATATTACCAGAATTTCGGTAATTTTGTATTCTGCTATAGATGCAAAATTTTCTTTATCTTTACAAAAACAAATTGTGTTGGTTGTATACCAAGAAGTATTGAACGCACCCCCATTACGGTAAAATACATTTAGTTGTTATTACCGAATGGTATGAATTTATTATCACACGATTAGTTATTATTACAAAGGTATTAAGTTATAATTTGATACTGCATTCATAACATTAGGTTTGCTACTCCCACATAATCAAAGTGTTGATGGAAGCAAAAGTATATTGCTGCACAGAAAAAATAAAGCATTCGTTTACTATTACAAACAAAGTGAATACTGTACAATTTTTACTGTATTTTTCCTACGTGTGATTTGTTATAAGCATTAGCGTCAGTGTAATAATATCCAACTTTTTGTTAAGGATGTTGAATTTCCATTGTTCGCCCTTCGCAGTTCGTGCAGTAGGTACTGTAGTTTCTGGCGTTCTTATGCTTACCAGCCATTAGTTACTGCGATTTGCGAACGTTTCTGAAGTGTGGCCATAAGTAACAGTTATTTTTAGTGTTTTTGAAAGTTAGTGCGGTATCGGAAATGGCAGATGAAGATGTGGTGGCGTATTTGCATACGTGGGGTTTGCCCCAGTATGTCGACGTATTCAAACATAAGTACGAGTATTTCATTATCATAAAACGTTGACTAAGAAAGGTTGTTGGGTTTATTTCCATGTTACCTGTTACCATTGAATAAAATGTACCTATGCAATGCTGTTACCTAATGTTTATAAAACATCTTTATCACGTAGATTTTTTACGCGTCTTCCTCTGCAATCCCAGGGAGAAACTGAAAGGTAGAAAACGACAACATCTCGTCGAAATATAGGTGGTACTTAGGTAATTAATGTAAAGATGTTTTATTTACTACTGGCGACATAGGAATTACACCCCAAACATAACAAATTGATATTTTGCATCTAGAACAGAAAACATTGGATTTAATCATATTATATTTCAGAACAAAACGTAAAAAAGGACACTTTACCGTTCCTAACACCAGAAATGGTAAAAGAACTAATACCTTCAATAGGCGACAGAGCCCAATTTCAGGGGCATTTGGATCACTGGAAGATGATAATTAACGAAATTCCACAATCGTCTCCATTACCAGTAAGTACAATCCGAGGTGCAATCCGTAGTGTGTGTAAATTTCTTAGGGTAAATTTAAATCGATTATAAACAGAGATGCATTGCCGGTGGATTTAAATTGGCTCTAACAATTTACAAAGAAATTAAAATATGTACATAATAGCATTGAATAAATTATTCAATGATAATAGTGAACGTTGGGCTGTTGGAAATTTATTAGTGAAGTGGAAGGGGTTCGAATCTATGTAAATTACCTTATTCGTAGTTATCCATTTGGTTCCATTTGATTTCAAAATTTATTTATTTTGAATCTGATCGATCCTGAATCAGTCCGAAGGCGTTTCTTAAAACCTACTATAAAGTCTTATAAAAGCGGAAAAATTTCGTCCACGAATGTCTGATAGCATATACAAAATTGAAAAATTTCGTCCCAACGGAACGCGTCGTTTATATCACGAAATTTGTGTATTTGCCTAATTTCCCTCAGTATTTCCGTTGATCCTGTCGATACCGTTTTTCCAATGAAAATAAGATATTTTTAAAAATGAAGTCAAAAATGTTTAGAGAGGCACATCCTGTTTGGCTGAGGAAAATTTTCTTGAATTCTGTGTATTTTTACTGACTGGAGACTGGACGATAAAACGCCTGCATTATTCGCCGTAATCTCCTCGTTTATTAAAGAAGACATCACTGGTGGCTAGGTTCGTTTATTTGATGATTCACATCAACAATAATCATCAACCAAAAAACGGGAATAATTCACAGACATTTTGATATCGCTAGGAAGTAGGAACCTACCGGCATATCATGTTGATAAATTTATAATCGATGTTTCTATTACTATAAGGTTATACCCGGTGCTGCCGAGATTGCGAGTACCTCATGGGCAACTGAGGATTATTTATTAGAAGATATTAGTGGCAATAATATACCTCTATCTGGGGAACCATTAAACCCTACCGAGCCAGAAGGGGCTAGGGATCTTGGAGCGCTACAAGAACAAAGAGGAGTAAGTATACATTTTTATGTAGGTATTTATTCTATATCGTTATCACTTTAAGTACGTTATACAGGGTGTTTTAACAAAAAAAGGTCCTATAGATATTTTATCCACGTGTAGTAGGTACTCATGAAAAGATGCCAAAAAGTCTTAATAAACATAGGTCCGCAAGCTAATTATTTCAGACATAGAGTTGATTTTGTGCCTTAATTTAAATATTTCTGTTTCCCTACATTTGACTTAAGTACTTAGAGCATCTGCTTTAAACTTCTGCAGTACCTTTCCTACAACTTTTCTAAATGTTCTTGTTTTTTACAAAATACGTTATACACCAAATGGAAACGTTAACAACTTTGAAATAAAAAAAAAACTTAATAACTCCGTAAAAACAATTTTTGGTCGATTTTGCACGAACTTTATACTTTCCCATCTTGGTTAAGGTTGGATGAACGAAACCGATTTTGTTTTCTGGTACTTCTATTAGTTACTTAACACTCTTATTTTTTAGCATCTTTTCTCTTATTATACGATATAAATGGTAAAAAAGCATCATTTTTAACAATTTATATCTTATAATTAGAGAAGAAATTTAAAAAAATAAGTGTCAAGTCACTAACAATACCTATCATTAGTCTGAAAAAATATCAGCTTAATCCGTCCAACTAGGTATAACCCTTTTTGAAAATAGCAAGTTCGTGCAAAATCGACCAAAA